TGTTGATTGTGTTGATGAAATTGTTGTTGCTGATGAAGATGACGGTGATGATTGTGATGTTGCGCAGGACGTTTCGGAGGATGTTGATAATGAGGAAGATTCCGAAATTGATGTATAGATAGATGATGATGAGGTTGATGTTGATAGTGATTTTCACGATGATGATGGTGATTCGCATGATGATGGTATTGTTGATAGTGATGATGTTGATGATGATGAGTATGATGATGATGATGACGAAGTTGATGATGATGATTGTGATGATGAAGGTTGTGTTGCTGATGAAGACGATATTGATGATGAGATGTTTATGATGTGTAATTGTTCACTGAAGGAATTTGCCTACTGATTCGTACTGTCATTATTGTGATTATCCAATCAATTGTGTGGCATCTCGTTTTCTTGACGTGATTTATCGTTGTGAATATGTAGCACATGCGTGAAATCGTGGATAAAACGACCGATGTTCTGATGGTCCATCAGTTCTACTCAGTAGGCCAACCGAGACGACAGCCACGTCCCCTCATCGTGAAAGGACCAGTTAAGGCAGCCGCATTTAGCACCCTAGGAAAGTACACAGACCCAAGTCCCAAGTCTATGAGAGTGCGCCGACAATGCCTGTTGTGCACATTGACTCACTTTGTCGATCAATGTGGAGCGTTCATATCGCTCGGTGTATCGAGGAGATTGGAAATCATTGAAAGGACTTGACTATGCACCTTGTGCCTCGAGCTGAATCACGAGACCAATAACTGTAGATCACGCAAGGCCTGTTGAGTAAATCAATGCTCGATACCCCATCATTCTCTGCTACACATCAGATANAGAAAACGGTTAACAGGTCCCCCAGGGTGATAACCAGTCATTCGGTACTTAGGAGTCATGACAAAACATAGCGCTGGGTGTACTGCCAACCGATATATTTGGTTCATCCAGGTTCATTTCGTTATACGCTCTCTTGGACGGAGGTTCTGACTCTACCCTCATTGATGAGGCTTTGGTGAGAAGGTTGAGCAGTTTGATCGGTATCGACGGTTATGCAAACGGTACAATTAAGTTCACAAGTAGTGAGCCTTCGCATCAGCGGCATGGGAGACAGGAACCAGTTAATTATATCAAAGGCCTGGTCCGTCCGTCATCTCCCACAAATGAAGCGTTTTGCTCCGAATAGTCAGTGGGGACATTTGAGAGGTATTGAGTTCGCATGTATCAATGGCGCGTGGGAGTCCTTGCTCTTACGAATGAATGCTCCGGCCGCTCATTGGGTGTTGGAGCACCGGTGTGGTGGCACCGATAAACCTCACACCATAAGGACCCCACTGTGGTGGTTGTGTATGAGACCAACAAAAGAAACCAACTCGTTTGTAGGAGATTCATTATTAAACCGTTTGAACGCCATGTGAGCCTTAGAATTTAATGAACCGAAGCCGCTGACAACATCTGTTTTGATAGAGGACAAAGAAGCCATTACCTATTCGAAGCCAATTGCCAAATGATAGGAGGCCACATCGAGGTGCCATTGCCTTGGCGAAAGGGCTCCCATGCCGGCCAAATAATGAACTAGTCGCTCTTAGACGCCTACACACATTAAGGAGACTATTATGGGAGAACTCAGAGCTGGACGAACAATACGCATACGTAATGTCAAGACATATTGTAACGAGAAGGCGATTTGGCTGGCAAAACGTTTATTGATGCAATTCAAAAACAACCGGTGTATGCGGTCCATCATATACAATCGATTATTAACCGCGCGGCAGAATGATTCATGCCTCATTCTGCTGGTCCATTCCTGTTGGTTTTGGTCCGCACTTGGCACGTACGTCGTTTCTTCTTCCGCGTGCCGTTCCGACTGGTTTGACCCAATCGTAGCATCGAGAGCGTTGACGTTGTGGTATTCGGTGGATATCTTTCTGGCTAGATAAGGATTCTCCATCGGGCTTTAATTGTCGATTCGTCCGTTTCGAGAGGTAGTGGACATTGTCTCGCGAAGTAATTCCAACCGCTGCATCTGCGCATTTGTTTGGATGGGCCTTATTATTGATTCGTTCGCTAGCCGGGACTGTCTTAGTATCACCTTCCATCACAATATCATTAAAGGGTATGCGGATTCGGTGAGGAACCCAAACGTAGCGAGATCGGGAGAAGTATGGTATCTACTCCACCATCCCGTAGTGAATAAAAGGAAGCCAGGGAAACTGTGCCAGTAAGTACCAGAATACGTTTACTATTTCCCAACTGCTATATGGACCTGATCTTACTAACAATTTATATGGAGTGCTCACACGGTTTAGAGAATGCCCGTACACTGTGATCAACGTGAGGCATGCGACGACCAGTAGATACCTACAAGATGACTGTTCATCCGTTTAGAGCAACCTCCTCCCCATGCTGTACTGTTTACGCCCTGAATCGGGCAATCAATGAAGATGCCTATCGATATCTTCATTTCGACAACAACCATGCGCAGAGGTCCTTTTGCGTCGACGATTGCCTCTCT